CTCCTCCTCTTCCTCCTCCCTCTGTCAGTCGCTCTCTCGGATTCATTCTGCGCTGTTTGGAGGTAAGAGCTGTTTCCTTCACATTATGTAGATATTATTATGAATGTTATTATGATTATGATTCTGGCTGTAACCGGAGCAGATCCCGGGTCGTCCGTTCCGGGTCTGACCCGGGATGTGTGTGTTGTTATCGGGCTGCTGCAGACGCACTTGCCTCCTCTGCCTCCCTCTTCATCCTCCTCAGGAGGCCACATGATCCGGATCCGTTGATCCGTCGAAGGATCGTTCAGATCCGCAGACTGAAAAAAACAACAGATTTTATTTGATAGATCTGGTCTGTGTGCAGGTGGCTGTTTATTCCAGGCCTCCTCCTCTTCCTCCTCTTCATCCTCCTCCTCCTCCTCCTCCTCCTGTAGCTCCTGCTGCTGTCACACTGACTGTAAACAGAATTAGACATCAGAGAATATTCATATTAAACAGGTCGTTTTCTTTATGAATGGATGAATCCTTTATACATTTAAACTCACATATCTTCAGTTTACTGGAATCAAAGATTAAAAACAGCCAATAATCACATTGAGGTCATTGATCTCCTTCAGATCATTTATCTTTAGAAAAGGTGAAACAGTAATAACCAACTTATATTATTATTATTATACTTTGATGCTTGAAACCAGCAGATGTTACATTCATTATTCGTTATTATTTACATAAAAATGACAAAAATTCTCTTTTACCAACTTCTTAAATATGAATATTTGCATTTTTCACACTTTAGACAAAATAACGACAGAATATTAATAATAAGAACTGCTGATAATGAAAGTAAATGTTGTCGTATTGTTCAGACTCTCCTGGATGTTGAACATTATGTGTGTGTGAGGCCATTAGTGCACACACACACACTCATTGATGTGTGTGTGGCAGCTGAAAGCTCTCAGTGATCAGACTATCGGACAGAAAGCACTCACACTGTCGGTTGGATGATCGCTGTTCGTCCTCAGAGACTCACAAACAGTAACTGAGTACATTCACTGTTTTATATCATAAATCCTCCTCATACACTTTATTATTATTCTATATTATAAATATATTATATCTATATTATATCTTTATTCTTATTAACATTCTACGTTAAAAACAATGACAATTATAAAAACTAGTATTTTCTGAACTGAAGGTAAATTACTTTAGTACGAACCCCCGTTAGCAGTTAGCCACTAATAGCTTACCGTTACTTCCACTATAAAGTTCAACCTATAATCATATTTGATTGTAATATTATAATATTTCTACATTAAACAGGAAACTGGATTTTAAATAATATCTCAGTCTAAACAGTCTGTGCTAACACGCTAATGTTCAATTCAATCCAGTTTTATTTGTAAAGCGCCAATCAATAACAGAAGTTATCTC